AGACTAATGGGGTCTCCCGATCAGCAGGGCTGAGTCACTGACGCTTGCCACTGTCATCCATAACGTTAAGTCAGGGACACTGGGCTGAGTGCTTTACATGTGTGTTACACAACTGCCCGATGGTGTAGGTCTTGTCACTGTCCTAATGTCATGGCTGAATGCAAGCTCTGGTAGTGATCCACTCAAGGTCACACAGCTTGTGGCAGAAGCTGGACCTGATCCCGGGCTCCTCTGAGCATCACAGGCTCCAGCTGGAACTCCACAGTGGGCCCTGGATTTGTAGTTCTTACCTTGGGCAAATCTGCTTTATTCACTTGCATCTCCATTTCCTCCCCTAAAAATAAGGAGTGATGACTCTCTGTCTCTACTGGACAGGAGCGGCTGAGGCTTAGAGGAGAGAATGTGCCTCACAAACTGTAACGTGCCATGCTCAGAGGCACTATTTTTGTTTTCAGAGTTGTAAGTGCCCTGGACAATCACCTCAATATCCTGATTTCACTCAGTAAATATTTACTCAGGGGACCAGCAGGTGGCGTGGTGGTTAAGGCACTGGACACTCCCACATGGCCAACCAAGGTTCGAGTCCTGAATCTGGTGGCTTGCTTTCTCACTTCCTCTCTCTCTCACTCTCACCCTCTGTCTCTCTCTAGTTGAATTAAAAAAAAATCAATGAATGAATAAATAAAATAAAATAAAGAATTATTTAAAAAATATTTACTGAGAATATGGTGCCCCAGACCCTGTGTCAGGGCAGGGTCCACCCTAGTGACTGAGGCAGCAACATCCCTGACTCTGCAGGGTCTTGGTCTTGGGGCAGACAGACAAGGGCATAATTACAAGGAAGCAAGGTGTGTCGAGAGGGCTTTGGGAACTTCCAACGGGGACTTTGTTGCCCTGAGAGACATTTATTTGTAGGACCTCAAGCAAAAAGAGCGGAGGTCAGAGCGTCAGGCAAAGGTAATGGCCAGGGAGAGTCCCTCCAGGAACTATGAGATGCGGCATGCCTGGAAGCTCCAGACGGTGCAGGGCTGGAGGGCACTAAGCCATCGAGGGGCTTGAAAACCATGTCAGCCTAGGAACAGGTGGGTATGCAGGAGGGCTGTACGCAGGACAGGGACACATTGTGTTGCTTGGAAGCAATGACAGGGCAATGGCACTCACACCACTTGGTGATGGGCAGCTCGTTCCAGTGCCAGACATTCCCAGCTGGGCCTTCCCTTCAGCCTAGACCTTGACCACGGCCCCTGTGTCAGAGGCTCTCTCCGTCTCTCCCAGGAATTCTCACGCTTCCATGAGGAGACCACCCCCATGCTAGACGGGATCACCAACAACCGCAAGGAGTGGAAGGCGCTTGCTGACGAGTACGATGCCAAGGTGAAGGCCCTGGAGGAGGAGAAACAGCAAGAGCAGGCCACCAAGCAAGGTCAGTGGAAAGGAGACAGGGAGGTCCAACCTTGCCCACACGGAACCCTCACAGGGCAGCTGGGCCTGGCCTCCAGCCTCCTGGTGACCTATACTTATCCCCTTCTGTGTATGAGGGCACTGAAACTGGCAGAGGTGAAGCATCATCGCCTAGTCACACGTCAGTAAGTGGCAGATCTGTTTCCCAAGGCTGAGGTGGAGGGTGGCTCAGGCCTCCCAGCAAGTCCCCCGCCCCCCACCTCTCAACAAGGGCTGACTGTGATTCTCAGGCTGGGGACATTCAAATCTACCCTGGGGCAAAGGTGGAAACCCAGAACCAGCAGTAGGAAGGATTTTTTTTTTTTTTTGAGAGTTTTTTGCTATAGGGCAATAGGGCGTGTGCGCTTGCCAGAAAGACAGAGACAGAGAGACAGAGAGTGAGAAATCACCCCCCGGGGGGATGGCCACGGCACAATCCCTTCTCCTATTGGGATCTTGGGCACGCATGCACACGTGCCCAGTGTGAGTTTAAGCCACCAGGTCCAGGATTCAAATCGCGGTCGACTACATGGGAGTCCAGCGACATAGCCATTACGCCAGCTGCTGGTCCCAGTAGGAAGGACTTTTAGAGGCCGTATTTTCAGTGTCCTGCCTGGTGTTTGAATCCGATCTACGCCATCCTGAGCCTCTGCTTGCGTACGGCACTGACGGGCTCGCCACTTTACGGGACGTCCTCCTTCAGCACCACAGAGCGGTCTCCCTTCCCCAGCTCTGCTCTGCTCTGCGCATTGTGGGAGGGCTCTATGCAGCATCTGTGAATGCGGGACCACTGCTTTTAGTTTTGCAGGTCATGTTTCCCGCAACCCTGGGGGGTTCCTAAATGTCACGTCACAGAAGTGTATAGACGTTGCAGTTTTTCAGAAAACGACAGTGATGTGTCCTGAGGAAGAATTTGCATACACTTACTTTTGGGCTTGTGGCAGGTCTGTGCAAACTTGTAGTCTGCAGGGCCTTTGGTTTGGCCGGCATCTATCTATCTACCTTTCTTTCTTTCTCTTTCTTTCTTTCTTTCTTCTTTCTTTCTTTCTTTCTTTCTTTCTTTCTTTCTTTCTTTCTTTCTTTCTTTCTTTCTTTCTTTCTTTCTTCTTTCTTTCTTTTTTTTTCTTTTTTTGCTATAGGACACATGCACTTGCCAGAGAGACAGAAAGAGAAAGTGAGAAATCACCCCCTGGGCAATGGCCACACCGCAACCCTTTCCCTTCCATTCTCCTCTCAGGATTTTGGGCACCACACACATGCATCCCACATGAGCTTTAAGACACCGGGTCCGGGACCCAAACTGTGGTCGACTTCATGGGAGTCCAGCGACGTAACCATTATGCCATCTGCTGGTCCCTGGTCTGCATTCTTTTAAAATATGAATCTGCTATCCATAGTTTAAAATTGTGATGCTCAGATTTAAAAATCCACATTTCTGGCTTTTGTTTTGAAAAGATCCCAACCTGGCCATCCCAGTCTGGCATTTCTATTTGACAACTGGGAGTTGAGTGTAACCTGCCCTCTTCAGATGGGACAAAAGCTTTCTGCTGTTTGTCACAGCTTCCACCACTCCCTGTGTCTCCAGACATTGGTGCCAAGTGCCCATGCCATTTATCGACCTCCTTAGAGTTTCTTAGACTAGAGAACTACTCTGAGTTTCGCCGATTCTCCCTGTATCCGGTTTGCCTTTTGCATGTGTGGTTGTCTGTTGGCTTCTGGAAGCTCTTGAGTTTGTGATTTTGGTCCAAACCAGGTGAAAGAAGCCCACTGCAGCTGCCCCTTACCTAGCATGTTCTCTTTCCTGTCCGATTGCAGCAGCCTCGGGAAATGAGCCAGGGGACACACCTACCTCCAGGTCCTGCTGCATCCAGTAGCGTGGCCAGGGATCTGCCAGCCAGAAGATCACCACCCTTTCCTGGGAGGAGACTGCCCAAGCCTGCGAAAAATCACACACCTTCTCGAGAAGTCAAAGAGTTGTAGGGTTTGAAAGCTGATACAGAATTTAGCTTACTACCTCCTCTAGTGGTTTTGAAACAGTTCTTAGTCTCGAGAACTGTTTCCTGAGCTCAAACCAGTACGTTGGCAGCCCTTTCCCCAACCTGCAGATGTTCCACGACCCCCAGTGGAGGCTGGAAATCAGATAATACCAAACCCTGCGTATGCTGCTTTTGCTGTGCATGCATCCTTCTGACAAAGTTTAATTTGTAAACCAGGCATAGTAAGAGTTAGCAACCATAGAATAGACCCATTGTAACAATATACTGTAATAAAAGTTAGCAACCATAGAATAGACCCATTGTAACAATATACGGTAATAAAAGTTAGGTGGACATAGTATCTCTCGGTCTCAAAGTATCTTCTTGTGCTGTCCTCACCTACCCTTCTTGGTGACCAAGGGTAACTAAAACAAGAAAGCGGAACTGAGGAAAGGAGCACTATTATATTCGAGTTTTCATAGACATCAACTAAACAAATGAATGCCAATCCCCCTGCTTGCTCAGTATCACTGATATTCTTACGCTTTCACTTAATGTTTTATTATAAAATGTTCAGTTGTTCTCAAAGGACAATTGCACATTGAGTCCCTACACACTAATCACTCAGATTCCAGTATCAAGTTTCGCTGTTTGTTTTATTTGTCCTTTTAACACGTATTTTTCAACTTTTCCTTAAGGGAAGTAAAAGGTGAATTCCACATGTATCGTTTTGCTCCTCTGTGGTACATCTTTAAAGGGATGAGGGTGTTTTTGCACAGAACATGCAACAGATGAGCTAACACCCAGTGAGGTGGGTGTGCTGAGCAGCACGGGGCCCCTTCAATGAATGACAGGGGGCCCCAGCAGCTGTGAGTGCTGCCAGTCCCTTCAGGGGTGACCTCAGTTGCAGGGACACACTCAGCCTTTCCCAGGGAAGCCCACCCCTGATGACTGATCCATGCCCAGTGGAAAGGCCTGGCCATCTTGGCCCAACATGGACAACTCTGCAGGACCATTCTAGCTTCAGGACTCCTCGTGGGGTCCACCCAGGTGGTCACTAGTCTGTCACGGCTCAGCTTCTTCCTCTGCCCACTCCTGCTGTCCTCCTTTCCCTGCCCCAGGGCACTCCTGAATAAGCAAGCCCATTTGGGAGTTTGCTCTATGGGGAACCCAACTTAGGGGGCTGGGATTCGAACTGCAGGCTATCATGTCCTTTGTGCTAAGGGGCCGACCCTACAGGGACGTTTTGATACATGAAAACATTGTGATCACCACAATCAAGCTGACTGACACATCCGTCACATAACAGTGATGTTTCTCAAGTCTGATTTGTGGTTGTTACAGGGCATGTGCTTTCGCAGGACAGAGACAGGGTGAGAGAGAGAGAAAGTGAGATCACTCCCCAGGGGGGAATAGCCACTCTCCCATCCCTTTTTTTCCTGCTCCTCTTGGGATTTGGGGCATGCATGAGCACGGCATGGTTTTCGAGCCACCAGGTCCAGGACTCAAACTAGTTAGCCAGGTGGGATTCAGCACATTAACGTCCAGGCCACCTGCTGGCCCCCCTGTCTCTCTTAATCTACAACAGCGCTCATTTTGTTTTCCCTTTGCCAGTGATTCATTGCAGACAGTAGGTAATTGTCAGTCGTCCCATTTTCTGGATTTATCCATCTGGTTCCTTGTGACGGCCTGTGACATGTTCCTCTGTGTCCTCTTCTCCTGTAAATGGACATTGGTGCTAGAACTTCTCTTCCTCCCAAACTGGACGTTCCGTAGAAGCTAATGTATTATAGCAGTTGCTCTGAGGAGAGGGAACCTTGTGGTTCCTCTAAACTGTAAACCACTCCTCTTTTTAGATAAGCGAGGAAATTGAAGGCCAGCGAGGGGACAAGGTTGAGCCAAGTTCATGTCACAGTTCCCTGGCTTCCCTCCAGAAGTAGATGCCCAAGTTCACCAGGAACACAGCGTCCAGAGCTCACGTCCCTGCAACTTCCTCAGCAGATCAATCCCAGCTCCTGACGCATGAATTCTGCCCATATTTGCAGGTCAGATGTCAATGGGGGCTGGGACTGGAACTTGCATCTTTCAATTCCCAAACAAGATTTCTGCCCTCCTGAAATGGACACTCTCAGTGCATCGATCTTCTAAGCAGAGGCATGGCTCTAAGCATATCATGGGTGGTGAAGTGGCAGGGAAAAGAGGAGTGTCACCCAAGAACATGTGGCACTGCATACTTCTGAGCCCGTTCGGCCAGTTCCTTCTGCTCTACTTCCAAGCCTTCCCAATCTGTCAAATGAGGGTCAGGGTCCTCGCCATGCCTCTCACAGAGCTATGGTTAACATCAAAGGAGGACCACGAAAAGTGCTGGCTAAGTGCTTGCGGAGTCCTAGGTACTGTGCGTGATCCAAGTTCACAGCAACCCTAACAGGTGGGAACTGGGATCAGCCCCACTGATCTCGTGAAGCAGAGCAGACTCAGAGAGGTTGAGAAACCTGCCTAAGGGTACCCAGAGGTAGAGTCAAGACACAGTGCACGGGCCAGCACTGAGCAGAGTGGTTAAGTGAGGTCCATCAGGATCTGGATCACACATGGTTGATCACAGTTCAAATCCTAGCCCTGGCGACTTGAAAAACACAGTACATGTGTGTTCATGCCCCAAATCATGACAGGATAGAGACATGGAGGAAAATGGACTGCAGGCTGACCATGCCCAGTGGCAGGTAAGCTTTCTCTTGTTCTCTAGCGACCACACACAACCTCTGGACACTAAAGGGAGAAAAAAATTAAAAAAAACAAACAAACAAAAAAAAAACCAGTTCAAAGCCAAGCAGTGTGGCACCAGAACCCCAACTTGTAACAATTTCCCTGTCCCATGCCACTTCTGAGAATCAGCTTTCTTTTGAACGTAAAAGCCCTCAAGTTTATCTAAGCAAATCATCTTGTTTCATAGTCTGGGAGACAAGGTCCAAAGAGGTGGTCTGTCCTAGGCATTAGTGGCAGAGAGGGTTCTCAAGTGCAGGTCTCGGGCTCTACATTTGCATGTCCTATTAGACACATCTTTTTTTTTTTAAATAATTATTTCATTTAACTTTATTTATTTATTTAAATTTGACCAGAGAAAGACAGCGCAAGAGAGAGAGGGAAAGTGAGCAAGCAAGCTGCCAGGTCTGGGACTCGAACCACAGTTGGCCATGTGGGAGTCCAGCACCCTTAACCACCATGCCCCTTGCCAGCCCCAGACACATCTTTAAAAGGGATTGTTATTGTCATTCTGTGGCTTGGTTCCCTCCCTAGCTGTACAGTCTTCAGGCGGTGGGTAGGACTCACTCAGAATTCCCGATGGGTGGAGCGAGGAGCCCCACGGGGAATAGAGAAACAGTCCACAGTCCTGGAGTTTACCAGGTAAGGTAAGGGTCGGCAAGCAGGAGCAGTTGATCACAGCTACTCAGGACTCCAATTCAGGCTGGAAAGCTCCACCCCCAGGCAGAAACATCCCCATTCATCTTAAGAGGAACAAATCACGGGACCAGCAGTTAGCGTAATGGCTATGTCACTGGATTCCCACTAGTCGAGCGCGGTTCGCATCTTGGACCTGGTGGCTTAAAACTCACGCCGGGCGCGTGTGTGTGCGTCCCCAAGATCCCAAGAAGAGAATGGAGGAGAAGGGACTGTGGTGTGGCCATCCCCCCCCCTCCCCCCGCCGAGGGGTGATTTCTCGTTTTCTGTCTCTCTTTCTCTCTCTGTCGGGCAAGCGCGCGCACCCTATAGCAAAAACCTCTCCAAAAAAAGAAAAAAAAAAAAAAGAGAGAGAGAAACAAATCAAGTGTTCCAACCTAAGAAATCCAAACAATTTTCATAGATTGAAAAACCACCTGAACAATGAGGGCTAGTTTATGTAAGAAATAAACAATAACTTGAAAAGTCTGCACAGAACACAAAACCATGGTTTATTTGACCTCTTCTTGCTTACATCAAGTGTTTTTTTTTCACCAGTTTCAAACCTTTCGGGGGTCAGGAGTATCTGGCACTCAAACTGCATTTAAAAATAAAGTTACAGCACAAAAAAATGGCGTTAGGGTAAAATAAAAGCAAGGTGGTAACAGACACACAAGACTGACAGTCTTGTAAGATGCCACTTTCTTCGCCTGCTTTCTTGAAGCATGTACCGAGAAAAGGTTTCAAGTCCACCCAAACATGGCACACGATTCCGATCTGCTCTCTAAGATCCCCTGACCGGAAACTGTTTGGTGATTGTCAGTTGATGTGTTCTTCTGCCTAACAGCAGATTTATGTAGTGTGCTCCTGGGGGAAAAGTTGATCTACCCAAACAAGCAGATCTTTGTTCAGAAAGTGGTATATACCTTCATAAAGGTCACGGCACGAAGTCCGAATGGAACAGCTATGTGAGAGGAATCTGAATGCTGATGAACTATGCGAAGTGTTATGAAGGAAGGAAAAGGGCAGTAAGAGTTTGGGTGATGGGGCCAGCAGGTGATGTAGTGGTGAAGGCGCTGGACTTCCACATGGTCGACTGCGGTTTGAGTCCTGGACCAGGCGTACCTGCGTGGGTGCCCAGATCCTGGGGGAAGAGTGGAGGAGAGGGACTGCAGTCTGGCCATCCCCCTGGGGGCTGATTTCTCACCTTTCCTCTCATTATCTCTGTCTCTCCTGCCAGCAAAAACCTTGAGGAGGAAAAAAAAAGTTTTGGTGACTTCACTGAGAAGAGTATTGGTCATCTTCTTTGAGAAGGTGACATTTAAACTGGAATCTCTTCCCCATTGAGTGGTCAGACTGTCCCCCAGTGAGCTCACAGGACCAATAGAAAGAAAGACACACCTGGGCAGGGCTGTGGGTGGTATTTTCTTTTTAATCTTCATAGTGTATTTGTTAAGTTTATTTATAAGCAGATCACTTCACTATTTACAGTACATGAGCATAGAGATTCTACAGTTTTTGTGATGTAAACAATAACTCCACAGTGGGAGTTTGAGAAAAGAAGCCAGTTCAGAAGTATTTACAGACGTTAAAATAGAACTTTATACTCACAGAATAATAATAATAATACATAGAGCAATTTGGTTAAATTATCTATGAAACTATAGAATCTGACAATGTACAAATACAGGAAAACATTTTCTCATTTAGGAGGTAAGACAAATAAATCACACCAGAAATAAAATAGGGACGATGACAACCACAATAATTAAAAGCAAGGAAGACTTCTTCCTTGCCTCTTACGGATAAAGTATTTATATAAATAAGGACACAACCCAACGAAATGGAAAAAATATATAAAAATCCTCTACCAATTAAAAAAAATAGCAAAACTAAAAACTCGATTCTCAATCATTAGCAGTGTCCTTTAAAAAATTAAAATTTAGCTTTCTATTATAAATAACAAAGCAGATGTGTCCCTCTGTGTAGGTGAAATTCTTGCACCTTTCTCAAGAAATGCATCAATGTAATTCCACACACACACGCACGCACACACACGGGCAAAGACACGCACGTGCACACACATACACATACACACACACAGCCTTACACTCTTGCACCCCAGGCTGTAGTTACCTTGTTGAGCTTCCTAATAAATAATGCCCCTACAGTAGTACCCCTGGGGATGACAAAACCTCCCAAGTTTAGCCATTCCCTGGTTTGACCCTGTCACAGAGCCAGGGAAAGCCCTGGCTCCCTATTGCTCAGAATTCTCTAGGCTGCATGGTTACACCAAGAGAAAAGGATTTGAGTCCAAGATTTGGA